ATACACTTGTAAAAACATTGTCTGCCAACCACAATACATGGTCTTTGGCACACTCCCCCCTGCATAGACATACCTAATAGTTCAACCTGTCCACCCATCTATCCACCCATATATCCATGTGTGCCTTCACTGACAGTGCAGTACTGTATGTTCAGAAGGATTCATCCTTGTTGTCTGTACCTCCCATGCACCTTTCTCTGTCTTCCTCTTCCTCAATGCCACCACGTAGACATTTGGTACATTGTCCTTCTCTTCATCCAAATCAATAATTGTCTCTACCTATCTAACAGTGTTCTCCACCCTCCCATCCCACCCCTGGTAACCAGCAAGGACAATTTCCTTCCATAGATAAACATTTCCTTGACTTTTTACAATGACAGACTAATACAATATTTCTCATTCGGTGATTGACTTATTTCACTCAGCATAACGTCCTCCAAGTTCATCCATGTTAGCGGTGTTTTGCAGATTCTGCGTTATTCTTTAAGGTTGCATAGTATTGCATTGTATGCATGTACCATAGTTTGGTTACCCATTTTTCTGTTGATGGACACATGGATTGTTTTCATCTTTTGGCTATTGTAAATAGTGCTGCAATGAACATGGGTGTGCATATGTCTGTTCTTGTGCTGGTTCTCACTTCTTTTGGATATATACCTAGAAATGGAATGTCTGGGTCAAATGGTATTTCTAATTCTAACTTTAAGGAGTAGCCATACTGCTTTCCACAGTAGTTGTACCATTTTACATTCCCACCAGCAGTGCATTAGAGTCCTAATCTCCCCACATCCTTGCCAGAGTTTATTATTTTCTGTCTTGTTACTTGTTACTGAACTTTGCTGTGGGTGCTGGGGCCAGATGATATCTTACTGTTGATTTGATTTGCATCTCTCTATTGGCTAATGAGATAATAATTGGGAGCTCTGGTAGCATAGTGCCTAAGGCACTTGACTGCTAACCAAAAGGCTGGCGGTTCAAACCCACCAGCCACTCCTCGGAAGGAAGGTTGGGCAATCCTACTTCCGTAGTGATACTGCCTCGGAAACCCAAGGAGGGGTCGCTATGAGTTGGGGCCGACTTGACAGCAAATAACAACAACAACATTGGCTAATGCTCGTGACCATTTCTTCATCTGTTGGCCACCTGAATATCCTCTTTGGTGAAGCATCTATTCATGTCTTCTGCCCATTTTTTAACTGGATTATTTGTATTTTTGTAGCGGTGTTGGGAGTTT